TGGTAAAGGTTTTTCTTTTGCTTGATGCCACTGTAGATATTTTCATTACATTTGGAAGCTTTCCACGAAATTTTCTTCGGTTTATTCGCCTAAATTTGCGGGACTTGAAACCGTCCAAAGAAGTTGAAGAGGTAGGAAAAAAAGCAGCTCTGATTTAGATCCCGCGTTCACTCTTATCCAAGTTGCGAAGTTGAAACCTGCCAAGTAACAAACTGTCACCGTAAAGAACTTCCTCAAGCAGGTGTATTGGGGAATATCAAACTTGGTCCTTAAGGAATAGGTTTCAGTATAAAATACCGGAGGTTGCCTTTGATATTCGCCTGGAGATGAATAATTTACTGCTTGTCCTACTAATCCCTTACCTCTTACGGGAAAGGGTTAGAGTTTAAGGTCATCCATAGATTGGAAACATGATTAGAAAATAAGGATTTCTCATTGAAAGCGAGATTCTCATTGTGCTATATATATCTATTTATATATCTGGATAGGGACAAAAATAAATGATCTTTGTTGCATTGTGTAAATAAACGAATATTAGTTTCCATTTCAGTTTTATCTAATTTTCGCAAAATGTTTCATGTAATTACACGTTTAGTGTACAACGTACCTAGCAAATATTTGCAAAAACGTATTGGAATACTAAATTAATCAATGTAATGTTCGCAGGGATGGTAATTGTCGCACAGCAAATAGGCAATAGAGGGAGTTTTCATTTATTGAGAAACGATCGGCCAGTGGTTTTCTCCACCGATTGCAAGTTAGGGTGGATGATTCGGATATTTTTTTGACGTGACAACGTCTTATAATTCGATGGAGCCCCGGCTGCACGCACGAAAAAACATGACTCATGCGGCGTTACCTCGCTCTGAGGCGTTCCATTTAAGTGCAAGCGAGAGCGCGGAACGAGCGACAAAGAGGCACAATCGGCCTCCGCGTTCGGCAGCCGACATCTGTCTCTCTCCTACTTGAGTGAGCGATGCGTCCGCGTGGACAGCTGCTATACAATAATACATTTCCATTTACCTCCTTCTCTATATCAATACAAAATATCTATCAAACAAATAAAATTAAAATTTTCTTTTGAAAAATGAAACCATTCCATCAGTATTTTCTTATGACGTTGTCACGTTCAACTATTGTCAGTAAACCGACTTTACAGACAACCGATTTTTTTTTTATTTAAATAAAGTTCTTTTTTGACTCAATTTAGGCATACAGAGATTAATACAGATGTCGTAAATACTTGAATATAAAATCGTAAACGTTTGCGAATCTTCGATAGGTTGAGAAACCGTTTAAAAAGTCCTTAATTTTTCCAAGGAGTAGGACATTTGGACTCCCAAGTTTTTTCATTTTCTGAATGTCCTTTTCTAACATTCATTGTTGTCTCTTTAATCTATGTCCACGAGCACTTCTAACTTCAACAAACTCGTCCACCCTTCAAAAATTTAGTTCTGTAAATTTTTGAGGTACTATTTCGATATTCTTGTCTAAAAAGCAATAGTGCACTCACTCTCTGCATCTACCCCCTGTCCTGTCCACACGCGATGGTTCAGCCATTAGTTAAATTATGAAATGAGCTTGGTAATATCATGAGTGGAACCATTGGAAACATTTTCATTTGCTTTAAGTCCAATTTTTTACACCCATACAGACACACATCGCGTTGGTAGATAAATATAGAGTAAGGTTCACGCTTCTACATTTAAAATATTAGGTGCAATAACGCCACGGCGAGGAAAGTGTGCTAGATGGATGCTTTTTCAGCCCATTTCACGTCGCCTCCGGTAGCTTTAGTAGCTTAACTTGTCGCACTTTTATAACCTCCACGTTGGTCGCTGTTTCAGCCGTGCCATTTTACCTCCGTGCCGGTTTTTCGCCGAGCGATCTCTTTCTTCGTATTTATGGGGAATCTTTTGCGGCATTATAATGTAACCGTATTCTTGAAAAATGGGCCTTCATTTACACCTTAACACAAATTTATGAAGAATCTTCGCGCGCGAAAATACTTATACGAAAATTGTATGTAAATACACGCTTTCGGTGACTTATTGAGATCAAACATTATTTTCTTCGGGGAGTAATAAAAGCCCCGCTCCGGAGGCTGAGACGGATGACGACCCCTTCGAGTCAAGCGCTGACTTCATTATTCCTGTTATTATTATCACACCTCTATTGTAAGGTGTGAATTTTTTTTCGTTAAATATTGCTTCATTGAATAGTTTGAATATCAATCAGATACAACCTTCAAATTGACACAAAGCCAAATGGTCCTTCAATAACGAATAAATGAAGATTGAACGAAAATAAAGAACAATCAGAGATTCAGAAAATACTACAAACGGCACAGTGAACGCCATCTGTAGCACAATGCTACATTTTAGGATTACGTATTGTGCTACAGATGGCGTTCACTGTGCCGTTTGTAGTATTTTCTCAAACGCACTGTTAAGACAGCAGGTGAAAGTTGGTCTGTGTTCTGTCGGAGCTGCCTGCGACGCACTGATGAGATCCAAAAAGATCGAAACCGCGATCCGCGTCTGGCAGTTTCGACAGAATACAGACCACTTCGAATTATTTTAATTAGAGATTCATTCATGCTTACCATCATCATAAGGTCGTCAGTCCTAAGAGTGACTGGACACGCATCTCCACTCCTTCCTATCGTGGGCTAATCTTCGCATTTCCTTAACATCCCACATCCTTAACTATTTGCGAACAGTAATCTAATTTAACTCCTAATGAAGGAGTAATTCTTAGACAAAGTTTTTGTTTGGAGCTTTTAGGAATCCGTTAGTAGGTAAAGTCTGCATCCAGCATCGGAGATGGAAGGATCTCAGAAGAAGATCAACAGTCCTGCTAGCGGAACGTTAGGAAGCAACTCTAACCGATGACGGCTTTTAGATCCGAATCATAACAGCATCAGTTCCGTTAGTAGGCATTCGTAGGGTTTTAAAGAATTGACCCTTTGGGATAAATTATTTATCAAAGTCTATTTAATAATGAGCAGATCAATCCGGATATGCAAAGACGATACTTATAACATAACCTAACTCAATAAGCGTTGATGTACCTACAGCATATGTGGTTCCAATGACGTTTATCTCAAAGACCGATGATCATTTGTTTACAGTATCTGATGATTATGAGAAAATGAAGAGTTAAGATTTTCATCATCATCATAGTTCTAAGACTGGTTGGACGTTAAGATTTTACGGGTATGAAAAAAAAAATGTTGAAAAAATGTCTCTTCCGTGACAACGTTTCGAGAGAACGTTGCCGTGACCAGGATTCGAACCTGGGTTACTACGGCCACAACGTAGGGTCCTAACCACTAGACGATCACGGCTACAAGAGACGGTTATTATTCGTTTATTTCAGTAGATACAAATTAAATTTCATGCCATTACTTTCACCAGTTGACCATGTCTTTAGTAAACACTATGTCTGTGTTTGATGTAGTTTAATATTACAGATATGCCTATTATGTTTGAATGAGAAAGTGTATTACTGGAATGGTTCAGCCTTCTACTGCGTGTACTTATACAGTAACAATATTATACACTAATTAGTTCTTGTTGATAAATAATTGAAAGATAACTAACGGTCATTATAATTAGTTGTTTTTCAGTTTATATACAGAGTATCGTCCACCACTTGATAAACAACTTTTCGGTTTAACTGATAAGTACGCCAAAATTCCTCAAATTAAATTAGAGATATTGTATTCCTTTTGTTATCTGACTGGTCAGTGATGACTTCTTGGAAGGCAAAGCATATATCTATCAAATTTTTTCATTTTATTTAATCTCGGAGTATCAATGTCTTTATTTCTTGTCTAATAGAAGATGCAGTTAAGAAAAGGTTAAATCCCTTTGAAATGTGGTGTTATAGGAGGATGACCAAAAATACTGGAATGGTTAGAAATTAGGAGGTTGTTGAGAAGTAGGGGAAATAAGAGTTCATAGGGGTAGAGATACACTTGAGTAGGTAGCTGGTGATGTAGGTTTCTCGAGTTTTTGAGGAATGGATCGAAAGATTAGCTGACAATAGGAAGAAGAATGGAGGTACGTGTCCAAATACTCTTCTGATTTCTTATACACAATTTACTTTAAAGAATTTTTGCTTGCCATAGGAGTTCATATCTATATTCTACGTGGTCATAACGCAGCTTCAGTTTGATTAATCCGACCGTTGTCGATGATCTAGGGATTATGTAAGCTGTTCCAAGAATATCTTCATTCAATTTGTCGTATAACTTTCTACTTGCTAGAGCAGAAGCAGATATTTGAATATGAAATAGAAAACGATACAACTCACTAACAAGAACGTCTTTTCTTTCTTTAAAAAGATTGATAGCATCAATGAAATTAGGTTATCTACTGTTTGTAGAATTCAAAACTATTTTTGTATTAATTTAGAATATTGTTATGTCGACATCAAAGAAATGTTGAAGTGCTTGAAGAAGATATTTGAATTAAACATTCAACACTGAGATTTAGACTTGGGTCCCTAATAATTCCAGAAATATCTGCAATTCGGTTTCATTCCGAGGGGATATGCAAGAGGCTGACTTACACCAGTCGTAACTAAACTTGCAATAATAAAATAAAACAATTATTGAAACCTTTTTGATTACTAGGAGTATGTCAAATCTCAGTAGCCTTCATGACTTAGGCTATAAAGTAGTCTGAGTCATTTAAAGTGGTGGTTAAGCAATAAAACGGTCAAGAAGTGACCGCTCTTGTTGACAACTGTAGGTGGAATTATTTACATTATGGCAACATTTAAACCAAGTGTTTGCAAACATTGTAAAATAGAACAATGATCTGATAAATACCTGAACAAAACATAAGTCATAATGTTAATTTTTTTTGTTGGACCTTAGCTACAACTGTAGACTCAATAAAGATTATTGTTCCTTAACACTGTCGATAAATAAAGGACTTTTTACCAAACTTTTTTTTAATTGTTATTGAAACTTAACTTTTTGTCCACAGCTTCTTCCATATATGGACTGCTGCCTTACTTTGAGACTAAGTCCGGTCCTGCTTCTGGCTCTGCTCCATCAGTCGATCCATCGTTCCTTGCAACAGTAAAAATTTGTTAAACGCTTCACAACTTAAGGAGTTAAAGGTAAGAATTTGTTTTGTGATTTTGTAATCATATTGGTAACCTTGAAGTGTCAAATGCTCCGATTTGTATGGTCTTGGTGGAAGACTCCTTAAACGCCGGGTGCGTTAAGATGACGTTGTTCTTTCGAAGATCTATGTGCACGTTAACCGGCTATAATAATGAAATTTCGCGCTTTTTTTATGTTGCAAATTCGTACAAATCTCTTAACGTTTTGGCGTAAGCCCAACGCGGGTACATTTGGATTTCCCAACGCACTCGTTTTTCCTCTCGGAATTAATTTAAAAGTGAAGTGAAGCAAATTGCGGATAAGCGCAAGAAGGGAAGATCCGTATCTGGACCCGAGTTAACACTCGTTCCTCCAGTTTCCATTACCACAGACAGATTATGTTTTTTACGAGGGGACCGTGTTCGCCTTTTTCCTGTTAATACACGCAAAAATAAAGGCATAAAAATTCCGCAACAGCTTTATTAGAAGGGTGCGTACATAATGTGATATATATACACACACACACACACACACATGTGTACATTTATCCACAAGTGTACATACATATCTAGGTGCACATTTACATACGTTAGCATATATATAGCGATCTCATTTTCACTCCGAATTTTTTATGAGACAGCAGGCGGCATCTCCCAGGCTGAAAAATCATTCTGTGTCGCAAACATTTGCATAAAAATGAAAAAGGAAAGTTACTTGTTAAATATTTCTTGCTGACCCGTATTTAACCTATTGTGACGTGCGTTTTTTGGTAATTGTGATGCTTCACATCGTTCATATAAATATTCAAATACATTATGAGGGTGTGATATAAAATTTTAACGGTTTAAGTCCTTAATTACTTTCATTCAAATTTAAATTTTAAAGGATTCAACATATTTAAATGTGACAATAATGTATTATCGTTTGTCTAATGGTATAGAAAATACTAGGAGCTATCTTTGATTGTCTGTTGTCCATATTAGTCCTTCCTCTTTAATTAGGTTTTGATCACTTCAAAAGGTTGATAACTGCTAGAGGGGACATTTTTAGTGGAGTCATAAAACTCTTTAAGTTCTCGTGAGTTGTTTCTTCAACAAATCGAAAACTGCCAGAAGATGATATTCTGGGTCATATTCAATCATCATCATCATCATAAGGTCGTCAGTCCTAAGACTGGGTCCTAAGACTGGTTGGACACGCACCTCCACTCTTTCCTAGTGTAAGCTAATCTTCACATCTTCCTAAAACTAGAACAACCCATATCCTTAACTATTTGCGAACAATAATCTAATCTAGGTCTATCTCTACCCCTCCTAGCTCGTTTTTCTGTCTCTAATATGTCTCTGACTAGACCTTCATGCCTGAGAAGCTGTCCTGCTAACCTAACTAGCTTATTCCTCATTATTATTTATTCCATAGAGTCCTATGTTCTCCTATTCTTTCTAATACCTCTTCATTTCTAACCGCTCCAAACTCCATTAACCGTTCGCGAGCATAGAAGTGACTTCTTTTTATTGAAGGCGACTCGACCCATTCTCTTCGACTTTTTCTTCCCTTGCATACCAGTATTTTTCTTTTACTTTTATTTATTTTCATTCAGTACTTTTTTGTCTACATCTCTTCCATTTTGTTTAAAGCTATCTCCAAATCCTTGTTAGATGTTAATTCTGCTGCATCATCAGCAAATCCAAGCATTCTAATCTTTTGCCCTTTATATATCTATCTTTACAGTTGTACTGTCTTTAATGATGTTGATCGCATCTATAGATTAAAAAGTAGAGGTAACACTGTGCATCCCTGTCTGACTCCCTTCCTAATATTTACTACTCTACGTTGCAACCTCAGCTCTATAACTGCCTGTTGCTCTTTATACAAACTAAGTATCACTCTTCTATCTTTGTAACTCATGCCTACAGTTTTAAGTGTATTTAACATCTTGTCCCATTTAACATTGTCAAAAGCTTTTTCTAAATCTACAAATCCTATGTACGCGCTCTTTCTTTTTTCTATTGTTTTCTCTATTGTTACCCGTAAAGCAAGAATGGCCTCCCGTGTTCCTCTATTTCATCTAAACCCAAATTGATCTTCCCTTAATAGTTCTTCCGCCCTTTATTCCATCCTCTACTTGTACAATTCTGGTTAAGATTTTTGACGTAAGGGAAGTTAATTGTTCTAAATGTCTCGCACCTATCGGCGCCACTCTTTTTAGGTATGGTTACTACCACGTTTCGTTTATAATCCTCTGGGACTTTCCCCGTCTCGTAAATGTGACTAACTAGACGATATCTAACCTCTTGTCCTGCATGTTTTAGAATTTCCCCCTGTATCCCATCTACACCTGGCGCATTATTATTCTTTAAGTTTTTTAATGCTACATCGAATTCTTCTCTCATCATGGGATAACCTAGATCATCTATCTTCACACTGTCTTCCTTCTCTAAGTCTCGGCCTCATTAAATCCAATATATTCAGTGGAATTATAAAAATCGTTCGGCTTTTGTGAGTTGTTTGGATCATATTTAGAAGCCTTACCTAACCTAACCTAACCTAACGTTTCATTAAAAAGTGGGATTTTATCAAGTAACCAGCAATATAAGTGCAATTTTTTGTAATGCTTAGCAGATTTTTACGTATAATAACACTTCGGTTATTTACGTGATGTTGTACGTTTTGGAAATAAAGCTTAAAACGGAGAATAGGAGCAAGGTTGGGTGAGCACAGCTTGCACATATAGCCGAAAGCCTCGGCCTCATTAAATCCAATATCTGTTTACGGCAAATGCGAACAATAACCCTTTAGTGAAGAAGATTATTGCAATTAGCAAGTGCTGTAGCCAATTTTCGCGACAAAGCGCGGTAACGGCGTGCGACATGGCGCGGTGCGACACGGTATACGCGACGAGGCAACCAGGTACCAATTACCAACTCGTTCTTTAACACATTACAGACACTGGCACAAGTTGGGCTTCCTTCGCCGTTAGTTGATTGCGAGTTAAAGGTTAAAGTTGTAAAGTCGCGACGAAATGTAACATTACCGATGTCGCGCCACTTCGCAAAGCTTTCTAATTAAAATCGGAATCGGGATTAGCACGTTATCTTTAGGCATACGTTTAAGTTGTATGTATTTATCTAATTCTGCCGAATTTGCGTACTGAAAGAATAATTAAAAAGCTATTAGACCGAATTTGGACGGAACCTCCGTCGGTGGTCCCATAACACTTAACACCATTCAACTTTCTTGTTTAATATCAACAACAAATATCAATATAGATTTTCTAATTCGGCATACTTCAATCCGTCAACAACTGCCACATTCATACTATACATTTTGCCTATGCTAGCGCTATTTCGGAGGGTTTTTGAACTGTTATTTATTGCTTAGAGCTGGAGATCCTTTCATATGAGATAGTTCACCTTATCTTCACATAGTTGCAGGAGGAGGACATATCTCTACGATTTAATTGCAAGAAAAAAACGTGATATTGCAATCAGTAATCCCAAACAAAAATGTTCTTTGATCCTTTCTTCGAACGATCTTCCAGTTTGTCTAATGTAGATTTTGTTATAATTTCCATAAGTTTAATAATGCAGTATCCGATTTACAATGCGGCTTCTCATATTTACTGGCAGTACAATGTCATTTAGCTGAATTGGTCAAAAGAAGTATTGTAACGAAGGGAAGCAACTAATTTTCACACTTCGCTTTCCCCGTCTTCCCTTTTCGTCCACGAACGACAAAACGATTTGTTTCGTCTTCACGGCTCTTATTCAGGTTAAACGAAGTGACGATGGTACGAAAGATAAAGCTTTGAAAGACTCATCGTACATCATTTTGCACCTCCGCTATGGCATTCGGAATGATTAAAAACGTGAACAGTTTTTCTTCGATGCTGTTGACCGCGCTTTCCCCCATTTTCCTCCTATTCCCCGGAGAACAAGCGAAGCGCTTCATTGAAAGCAACAGTACACTTCCATTTTTTTGGATGTCCTCATACTTTAGATATTTAAATTGTGAATGATAATAGTAGGTATTTGTTTATTAGATTATTAGCAACTGAATGAATAGTGGTATGCTCGATATTTAACCCCTGTAGTTTCCATGTTATTTCCTTTTAATTATATTAACCGAAGAGTCCTTTTACCTTCCCTTGTAGCCTTCTTAAGGAACACATTTTGAAATACAGTGTAAACTCTATATAACGACACTTAAGGGACTGAACATTTTTCGGCGTTATAAAGAGTGGTCGTTAAATGGAGAGAAATAAAAGATATTATTTTACTATTCTATAATAATATGAATTTACCAATATAGTACACATTTTGCACACGAACATTATTATTCATACATTGCGTATAGCCTGTTATCTTCGTCTGATGTTTTTTGCTACTCCAATATTTTAATTGTATCTTGTTACTTATCTTACTCATATCTTGAGATACTGCTGGATCAATTTGATTACATAAAAAGTATTTTTTTAATAGTTTCGCTGCATCAAGTGCTTGTTTGATGCTTGGTGGAGGGACAGGATCGTCTTCTTCAACAACGTACACAGCTGCAGTTCTTATCTATTTCGGCAACTTAGAAAGTACTGCTCAATGATTTCTAATGCCGCATTGTTGTCGTTAAATAGAGTGAGCGTGACGCTAGATAGAGTGTAATATTGTATAGAAAACAATGTAAACCAACCAAAGTCAAGCAATTTTGACGTTTTAAGGAGTTTGTCGTTAAATCGAGTGACGTTATAAAGAGTTTACACTGTACTTCCTAATATATACAATTAATTCTTTGTAAGATTATAGGTGGCGCTATATGTCTCCTCTAGTTGATTAGTTTTCTTCAATGTGGTGTGGTTTACTATTAAAGGGTTCACTTTTTAGAATAGTGTATTTGTCATAATTTTGTTTTGTAGGAGACAGGGATTATTGAAAGAACCGCAAAAATATTCGACAAACGAGTTCATCTTTGGCGCCATTATCGAAATATACGATATAAGCGGCAGTTCAGCCGCCGTACA